AGGGAAAAAAGAGAAAGTCAGAAATTACTTTATAAATGGGCACGTCTTACAATACATTGCGATGCTCCCTTTAGTAGCCAAATGGTTCATAAACATGACGCTTTATGTGGTATCACAAACGCACAGAATATGCTTTGTGTATGATTGCAAAACCAGCAGTGCTCCGCAGCCAAGCACACGGCTTACTATTATAATAATGAGTCTACTTCCATGTAGTGGATTTTAATAAGACTTTAATAATACTGGTACGAAGCCAAATTACATAATGTCCCAAAATATGACACAAAGCTTTTATAGAGAAAATAAAAGCTCATCGAAGTATAACCACATTTTTAAAAAAATAAAAACAAAAACAACAAACCACCACCAATGTTATCTAAACAAAGCCATTAGGCATATTTAATTTTAAGAAATCAAATTAGAGAAAAGGAACTCAGATCTATTCCCAGATCTCAAGATAAATTCTAAAAGGATATTATTTTAGGCAACATGTACGAAAACGAAGGTACGGCGCCAGCGCTGGGAAAGGAGCTAACTCCATAATTACTTCTGTTGGCACAGCTATGGGAATGGGGTTGACTATCTCAGATTTCTCCCAGAGGACAAAAACTGATTCAGTTACCTTACAGGCTGATTTTAAGACTGAGCTATGTTGGATTGTCTAGAAACAGCTTAGACCAATAAAATAATTTCCTTCTACACACGAAAACCAACTCCAAGTAAAAGTCCCAAAGGTAAAGAACCAAATGATTCACTCCTTCAGCCCCCTCCAGGTCTGGAGTCTTGGGGAAAGCAAGGACTCGGACAGCACACGTAAGGCTCGGCCTGGCACGGGCCATTCTCAGCACAACCTCCCCTCTCACCTCTCTCCACAGATGACAGTGGTAGTAAAAAAACAATGGGTACTTCAGTGGCTGGGTAAGGCACAGAGAACATCACACATCCTTAAAGCTGTATAACCTTTCAAATATTAGTGTTATGCTAGTTGGAAGATTAGTATTTGCAGGGATAACATTTTTTGTCCTTTATTAAGATCAACTATTTAGATCCACATATCCAATAGTGAGATCAACATAAATTAGCATATTTCAATGTACCACTGGTGACAAGTACAACTGTTAAACCGAGTCTGAATCAGTGCTGACAGCCTATCAGAGCGTGTGGTCATGAATACAGCAAGAATCAGAACAGTTTTCCTTACATACATTATATTGTCTCATCTACATGCCTCTAGACTTTTTAAAGGCATTAAAAAATTTCAAGTAGATTTAGATTCCACATGACAAGGTGAAGTGAGTAGGATATTTCATGCCTCGGATTTCTTAGAAGTCTACTTAAGCTACAGAAGCCCTTAAAAAGTTGCTAGTAACTTCAAGATGAAAGGCATTAGCAGCTTTTTAGAAAAGGATAATCACACTCTTCTAGAGACTTAATGAGGCTTAATTCACAGAAGCTTTTGACTTGGTCTGCTGTTAATTGAATCAAAGTCGATGATGATCTTGTTACACTTTGGCTTGAATTCCCTAAAATAAAGAAAAATACAGATATTAGTTAGTGAGTAGTTAAAACATTTTGCTTGCTTTAGCTCCAGCTAAATTTTTGAAGAAATAAAAACCCCAACCCCTCCTTGGATTCACATAGTTTTCATCTCTGTGGGAGCCAATTACAGTGCACCACACTGAGAGAAACCTGGACAAGAAAGACTAAGACAAAAAAGACACCTGGGGTGGGTTAGCCTGTACATTCTTCAGCTATTGGAGTTCATAAATTACCCAGGAGTCAAAGGACTTTGAACAATTTAGCTGCAGGTGGTTGGCATCATGTTACCAGGGCTGGGATTTTTGTCCATACTTATTTATATTTCAAATATTTTAAAGACATATTGACATATATAGGTACACATGTATGTAACCATAAAAATATTTTAATATACTCTATGTGTATTATATGTATACATATATATTAAAAAAAAAAAAAGGAATCTATTTGGTAAGTACTTTGGTTACTTTTTTCCTGCCAAGTTTTCAAAGAATACTTTCAAACTTTGCCTCAGTGTATGAGAATATTTTTTTGTGCTAGGGGAACAGATCACGTTATGCATCATACTGAGGAAAACCCAAACTAGTTAAGAGGGAATCGTTTAACAGTTCTAACTTAAGAACTATAAAATTAATACTGCCACAAAATGTTTCGGTTTATTATCATTCGAGCATCTGCTACAACAATTAGCAAGGAAGGTATTTGGAGACCAAGCATGTATTTTCCAGGCTACCAGTAAACAAAGGATTATGCAAATAGTGTGGATTTAGTACCTAATTAAGCTCTGCAGTTCAGTTCAAGAGATTCATTAAGTACCACCTACATCCTTAACAATCAATACAAGAAGGAGTAACAGTCAACACAGAAAAGCACGTGCTGCTGACCACAGAAACTCTGAATACTTTGTCGAGAATAACTGTCTGAACTGCAAGAAACACTTCTCACCCTGGAGAAGTTACAAGATTTGACTTGCAAGAGAATGATTTATGCTTCTTAGTCAAATAGTCTTAGTAGACATGAAACACACTGAAGGACTAAAACTGAATTTCAAGTACCGCTGTGTTTTTTCATGGATGTTTCTTAGCCCAGTAGGTACCTTTCATCCTAAAATTTTATCTGTCAGAATTGTTATGTTTGCAAATTTTTCGAAGTCTTTATATTTATATTGTGAAACTTTTTACTTGCAGAGCTTCCTTGACTGCATAATTAGCCTCACCCACAGCATGTTACTGCTATCAAGCTAGCTGGTGAACAGATTGTCTTTAGGTATCTCTGTCAGTGTCTTTAAAAACCCCACTCTTCAAACGTTTTTCAGATGCTCATTACTTGAAGGCAAATATTCCAAGTTTTATCTTTCTCTCACAAGAAAAGCTGACCAAGGAAGGCTGGACAGCTATAGGCACTAAGAATGAATTGCGGGTGGCTTGTTTGACACCTTCCCAGATTGACTGCAACAGGAAGACAATACAGTTTCAGTAAGGATCAGGGAATCCACAGAAAAAGTCAACTGGTTGTTTCAGTCCGGCTCATATAGTCATAGCATAATTCAGGTTGCAATGGACTCCAGGAGATCATCTAGTCTGACCTCCTGCTTGAAGTAGGGTCAGCGATGACTCTCCCAAGTACAATGGAACCAATAACCATCACAGTCACAATTTCACTGCAGTCCTTGAATGGAATGAGTATTCCAAATGGACCATTATCTCGTGCAAATGTTACAAAATGGAAAGTTAATCACATAGGAAGGCAAGAAGAATGGTGCAACAGTCTGTCAATCCAGTATCTTTCGCAGGCCTACAAACACTACCAAAGAATAAAATGCTGCACAATGTAAAAAACTTTTGTCCGAAAGTTGGTTTTTCACACACCATTTTCTTCCTTTCCAAAATAAAAATAAATCTAATCAAAAGCTGTCTTACCTGTATATAATACCTGCTAAATCAAACATCCGCCGTGCAGCTGTCATTTCTGTGGTGTCATGATACTTGTCAGACATAAAAATAACTTCCTTTATGCCTAAAAAAGATATACAGAAAAAAATGTTAGAATTACATTGGAAAAATAATGTCTAGTGCAGAAAATCAGAAAAGGCAGCATTCAGCCACGTGCTCTAGAACTCCTTGGTAGCCCTCTATTTCCCAAAATACTCTACTTGAGAATAAGGATATGTAAGGTAGAGCTGTTTTGGAGGATGGTTCTTTTGCAAATGCTGGAAAATGGTTTTCTCCACCTTCACCTAAGTTTAACTCCTAAAACCAGAACCAAATACTTGCAGGCAAGAAACACAAGACAGACAGACTAGAAATAAAGCATTTTTGCAAAAGTAATTGAAAACTTTTCTACCTTTCTAATATATTAAATTCCCCAGAAAGAACATAAACCCCTAATCTTGTTCCCCTTCCAAACGCATAGCTAGAGAAGGATGTGGCTTTTTCTTTTGTTCTCTGTCTCATAAGTAACTCCCAATCCCTGGTTCAAATCCTCATAAAGGGATGCTTTCTCACATTGTTGAATGATCTATGCTTAAATTACTTAGGCAGGGGAGAAGTGTAAAGGCTGACCCAAGAGAATTCACAAGCCTTTCAGAGCTTATCAACATCTTGCTGTATTTACCAGACAACCTGAGTATCAATACATTGCAATTTAGTGCTGCCCTCAGTGAATAAGAAAAAGGATGAGCAACTACACTGAGAACAAGCAGCCTATCTACCTTGAAGACCACTTGATTTTGATTCTATAAACGAGAGAAATATAACACAAATACAGAATACTATCATCTTTCCCCCTTCGCCCCTCTTGATTTCAAACCTTACTGATCAAAATAAAGCAGCGTTCTGTTTGCTGCTTTCTTCCTAGATCCCTGTGGCCATTAGTGGTGAGGAAACTCCCAGGACAGCCATCCATGCTAGGACTGCAAGACTTCACTCAATGAGCAAAACTATGCTACCTTAAGCAGGGATTTTCACAGAACTGAAGCCTACTGCAGATACTGCCTAATCTGAAAAAAGGAGACACATTTAGGCCAGCACGCTTGCTGCAGTGGCACGGATTTATAACAATTGTAATGAAAGACATAATTAAAGTAAGATCATAGAAGTCTTGTGACATTTATGAGCAAAGATATTTTAAAATCTTCAAATATCTACCATGCATCACATTCAAATTAAAATTTCATGTATATACTCCCAACAGACCTTTTGTCATGCAGAAGTTTATTCCTTTCTGCCCTACTCTATTCAACGTGTCAGAGCACAGTAAAATTGACAGTAATTATATGCAAAGCCTGTGTTGTTCTTCAGCAGCTCCTGGTCTAGAGAAGTTACAAACCTAAATTAGAAGCACACTCAGAATCACAGAAGATGCAATTAGCACTGGAAAAATTTGGCACCATTCAGATGCAAAAAAAACCCCACAAGTAGCACCGTATGAAGTTGACAGTGCAATTAATTTAGATCTAACAGCAGCAATTTAACATGAAATACACCCGTGATAAGATACCAAGGAGCAGGCAGCGCTGCAACCCTGACAAATCAAGCTGGTGCTACTCCTTACCTGCCTGGATGATGAGCTTTGCACATTCATTACATGGAAATAAGGCAACATACATGCTGCAGCCTTTCACATCGGCTGTGTTTTTGTTCATGATGGCATTGAGTTCAGCATGGCACACTGATTTAAAGAAAAAAAAAAGAGAATAAACAATTCATAACACCGTTCATTAAAGGAAATGAGTCAAACTAAAATTAAAGTGTTACAGTATAACCGCTTCCATCCTTTCAAAGGCAAATAGCTTGTGCAGCTTGTCATAAAGGGCAGAGGAAGAAATAAAAGCAGAAAAACCAAGATCAATGAAGGTCAATTGTTCTGACCAGGCTGCCGATTAGTAATGATATCATTAAGCGCATTAGCATCGCCATTTGCTAACACCTAGTGCAGACAACAAAGCCGTAGGCTGTGGGCCAAGTAGCTGCAACCGCCCTTAAGTGAAGCAATGTCTCACAGCTTCACAACTCTCTGGAGTATCTAATTGCCAGTATAAAGCAGCTCATTTGTGTGTTTACATGCACATATAGGAACGGTCTTACGGTTATAAGAGCACGCTGCGCCCTCTTAAAGGCAGGAGAATCATGAAGCAAAACCGAGCAGCCGGCTCCTCTGGGTCTCAGAACGACTCAGGGCTTCTGCTGCATGGTTCTTTCACCCCAAGAATACACAAGACACACTCAACCATAAAAACGTCCCAGCTTTAATATTAAAGTGAGTTCACTGCTCATTAAAAGGTACCAGACTTCCCAGTCAGGGGAAAAAAGTCCTCTATTTCTCCATGGATTTGATATAGGCCAGGTAGCAACAGACTAGCCTGCCTTATTCCAGCATAACACAATAGTTCTTTCTGGACAGACTGCACCTTAGGGTTTAAGTTTTTATGCTGTACACATCAGCAGATTATCTAACATGTTACCAACACGGGTGAGAAGAGCAGGTTCTGTGTCATCCACCATGAACCTCTGAAAAAAACATTAGGATCTCTGAGAGAACTTCCTGTTTACTCCTAGGAAGGACAGCAAGTTGCATAATTTATATACCTACCTACTAAGAAACTGCCTGCTGCCCTGACTTACTTCATTAACAGGTGCTGAAATGTGGTTACTGTTTTGAAGAATGGATTTTTTTTTTAAAAAAAGCAGTTTTCTTCTCCCCTGCATACATGTGAAAATGGAAACAGGCGAAGACTCATAGCACAAGTTCATGGCACACTTGCTTCTCTGCCCTGCCCTCTTCTGTGAATGGTTTTGCCCAGGAAGGGTGGCTGAGCGCAGCGCCGTCCCTCAGCGCGCCCGAGCCCTGGCTGAAGGGAAACGTCCCCCCCACCCGCTGAATGTCCACACCGAGTTTTCCACAGAATAGCTAACGCACCACAAATTTACAGCCTAACTTCCAGCACACCAGCTTTCCCACAGAGACAAGTCACAAAGGACCAAACACTTGCTAAAGAAAGCTCAGGATTGACTGCTACAAGCAGTTCCCAGCATCACCATGACTTACGCTGGCCACATACCTTCTCATAACCAGTAAAGCCAGGAACTGACATAAAGAATAGGAAATTAACAACAACAAAAACCAAACCAACCCGAAGCACCATCACCTTAAGGTTTCTATTATTATTGTTTCTATTGCAACACACTGTATTTTAAACACATGCCATTAAGCATACAGGACACACAGTTATATGAGCCTATGCATTTAGAAAATCCAGAAAATACATTTAACTCCAAGTAAGTTACTGAGTTGCACTAATCTTATGTAGCCTGCACAACAAAGAGTCAGATAATTATTTTTCTGGGGTTACAGAGGATTGAATGAAAAAGAATATCATTATTTCCACAGCTGGAACTAGGTTATGTCAACAGGACAGAAACATCACTTTCAAGCTTCTTTGAACAATATACTAGTTTTCTAGGCAGCAGTCTAAAATGTGGAAGGCCTCCAGAAAGAAGGATGAGGGAATGTTTTCAAAGGCTCACAGAACTAACCACCCCCACTAATTCCTTCAGTAAATATTTTTTCTTCACTAGAACTCAGAAATCTTCAGCCATAAAACCAGACGAGTTTCATTATTAGTATTGCCACAATATTGCTCTCTGCACTGATGAGAAAGAAACACTCTTTTGGCAGACTTCTACAAAACTTTCAACAACAAACCTCCTCCCAAGCAAAAACAAGTTCAGGACAAAAATAACACAGAAGATAATCACCTGGAGCAAGTTTGTCTCCAACAAACCCAGAAGGTTTTTGTTTCAAAACCAAAAGGAGGAGGGTTTTTCATGCACACTGTGGCCTAACCCTTAAGTTATTTCTTACTGCACTTACTACAGAAAGCAGTATGGGACTAGAAGTCTGCACTGATTCCAGAAGCCATCTTTTTCCTTCCAGTATTTATTTTTTTTCTAGTGTACTGGGCTACTAAGTACAAAACCATGCTGGCTCAGTTGTTGGAATTCTGAAGAATATTCTGGGGAACTATCATTACATGTGTCTTTGTTTTACACGTCTCCAGACACCTGTTACTGGCCCCTGTAAGGGTTATTATGCTAGACGGTCCTTAAGAAGCTACCTGACAATAATTTTTAGGCTTTGTTCCATCACTCTTCATTCTCTCTTCTTCACATTCCCCAGTCTCTGGCAGATACTCATTGACTGTTAACTGATTTATAGATAAGGTAGTCTGCTATCTCCCGATGCATCTTATAGAACTGCCCAATTTGATACTGTTTTAGTGAGAGACAGAAAACAATTCTAGGAGTCCAAAATCCCTCGTTAATAATAACTAAGTAGTTCACATTTGGGGTGTTCTGAAGTTTTCTAACCTGTTAAGAGCTCCTACTAATAGTTAAATATTGTTCTCTCTCAGACAATAAGCAGTTAACTTAAAATAACCTTTCACAGGTGTGCAGTATTCAGAACTCTGAAAACTGTATATTTAAATAGACTAGTAAAACTGAGAATTTTTATGATACCCTATGGGGGGCCCCAGTGTTTTGTTTTTTCTAAAATATATTCACATACAGCCAACATAATATTAAGCCTGCAACACTGGTTTCCATTCTGGAAAAGTGGCTCCAAAAGTATTCTCGGAAGGCTTCATTAGCTGAAGAAATAACCACGCAAGGAGAAGTTAGTGTGTGTGCTCTGACATTCTCACCACCTGCTACTATATACACGGGGTGGGGTGGAGGGAACAAACCAAAAAAGCAGAGGAATGCCTGCTTCCTTACTGGTGGTACTAACTGTAGTGTTTTTGTCTTTTCTTATTGCATACTGCTTGGTGCTGCATATCTGAGGTAGCACTAATCGTTAAGTCTGCCTCTAAATAAGAGACCCTCAGCCAATTAATGGTCATTTTTCAAGATTAACCACTTAATATGAACATGCTCTTAGTGGGCTGCAGAGTTAGAAGGACTCTCCAGCACACCTACTAAAAGTGTTCTGACTGGGGATTTTATAAGAAGCACAGGACTATTCAGAGTGTTTCTTAACACTGTCTAAAGGCTGACATGCTTGATGAAGAGCTTGAAGTAGTAACATGTCACCTTTTAAGAAGCAATCAAAGGAGGGGCTGAAGGAGTGACCCTTCTATGTGATCAATTACTGAGCCAGACTATGAATTTTGAGAAATTATGCACTAAATGTGGTGTTATGTTTGAAGAGAATACATTTCAATGCATATAGATTGTCATGCAGCAAGTTCCAGCTCTGGAGCCCCCGACAAAAGAAGGACATGGACCTGTTGGAATGGGTCCAGAGGAGAGCCACCAAGATGATCAGAGGGCTAGAGCATCTCTCCTATGAGGACAGGCTGAGGGAGTTGGGGTTGTCCAGCCTGGAGAAGAGAAGGCTCTGGGGAGGCCTTACTGTGACCTTCCAGTATCTGAAGGGGCCCTACAAGAAAGCTGGGGAGGGATTCACAGCATGTTAGGGGTTGGAAGGGATCTCAAAAGATCATCTAGTCCAAGCCCCCTGCCAGAGCAGGATCACCTAGAGTACATCACCCAGGGACACGTCCAGGCGGGCCTTGAAAGTCTCCAGAGATGGCAACTCCACCACCCGCCCTGGGAAGGCCATTCCAGTGCTCTGTTACTCCCATCATAAAGAAGTTCTTCCTTATCTTCAGGTTGAACCTCTTGTTCACCAGCTTGTGGCCACTGCCCCTAGTCCTGTCACCAGACACCACTGAGAAGAGCCTGGCCCCATCTTCTTGACACCCATCCTTTAGATATTTATAAGCATTGATAAGATCCCCCCTCAGCCTCCTCTTCTCCAAGCTAAACATCCCCAGCTCCCTGAGCCTTTCCTCATATGACAGGTGTGCCAGGCCTTTGATCATCTCAGTAGCCCTGCGCTGGACCCTCTCCAAAAAAGTTCTTTGTCCTTGAACTGAGAAGCCCAGAACTGCACACAGTATTCCAGTTTTACACAGGCTTGTAGTGCTAGGACAAGGGGTTAATGGGTTCAAAAAATGGGAAGACGCTAGATTTAGATCAGATGTAAGGAAGAAGTTCTTCACTGTGAGGGTGTTGAGACACTGGAACAGGTTGCCCAGGGAAGCTGTGGATGCTCCATCACTGGAGGTGTTCAAGACCAGGCTGGATGGGGCATTGTGCATCTTGGTCTAGTAGGAGGCGTCCCTGCCCATGGCAGGGGTTTGGAACTAGATGATCTTTAAGGTCCCTTCCAACCCAAACCGTTCTATGATTCTATAATTTATCAACATAAGTTTTTATACTGCCACTTTAACGAACCTGACAAATCAGGTTCCCAAAACAGACACATGGTAATAGGATGGTGTTCTTCAACATAAACCTGGTACAGAAATGGATACAGGGAATTCTATAATTGGGCCCACTTCTTCCCAGTCTTTTGCTAAAATCTTCACCTTTTTGTGTTCATTCCTTGTCCATCGCATCTTTGTCCAAACTCCACCCTACCAGTTACCCTTTACTCTCTGGACTCCTGACACTGGACATAGCAAAGATCACAGAAGGGCCCAAAATATTATTGAAAGGAACAGGGTCTGGAGTGACAACCACCAGGGACAGTGGTTGATGGATCTGGAATTTGTAGAACAGCATCAATCTTTCTTCATCCTTAGTAAAAGGGTAGGGATGGTT